CCCCCACAAAAAAAAAAAAAAAAGCCACAGCCAAGTATGGATTTCCCACCTTCTGGAAAATGCACAAACATTTTCATCATACAGGCCCATGTTATCATGAGGGGGCTCGTTTTTCCAGCAACTCCAAGAGCATTGAAGGAGAGAGGAAGGACACCCAAATGTATCTCCACGTCTCTGCTTTTCCTAACTGACTTCTCCATACAGCTTGTTCCAAATTCCTGTGTGGAGCCCAGCCTGGCTTCCTGAATTTGCCAAGACTCAGAGTGGCCAAACTAAAAGAAACGGGTACTACCAGCAGAGATCATTGCAAAGCTCCTTGTAACAAATAACCCTGACAAAGAAGGCCCAAACCAGTGTGAGGGGCCATGGAGGAAATTGTTTTCTCAGGGAGCACCAGGTGCAATCCCCAAGAACACAGAGCTGCACTGCTCACTGGTTAACCAGCTATTTTCACCCTGCACTCAGGTGTGCCCCATGATATTTATCATTTCCTTTCACCATGTGCCAGGCTCAGCAAGGAGAGAAAACCTTTGCTCACCACCTCTCCTGGCAATGGCAGGAAGGGTGCCCTGCTCCCCAGGGTGACATGCTGACTCCATCAGCATGGTCTGATGTCAGGTCTCACCAGCTCCAGCACAACCCCAGCCCTGTTGAAGAGCTTTTCTGTGCATTTCATATCAAATCTACAGACAGCAAGTTTGTCCTGCCATGACTTTCAGAAAAACACATGGCAAAAATAGCCAGGCTCCAGGGTGCAGCTGTAGCATTTGAGCCCACAAACTTAGCCACAGACACTTCTCCCTAACCAGGCAGCATGACACTAAAACCGAGGACATTTGGATCAGGTCCCCAGGCTGCTTTATAAACACACACCAGTGCAATTCCCTTCATGAAAAAATGGGTTATATGTAAACTACCAGAGCAGAGACTTGCAGATGCCTGCAGTGAAGAGCCCATGAAGAGCCAGGCAGGTTCCCCTGCCAGGAGAGCAGGCAGGACTCTGTGGGGAGCAGAGCACAGCCAAGGCTGCATCCTCTCCCCAGGAAGCATTAAGAGTCAGGCTCCTTCACTCTTGCTCCTCTTCTCTCCAGGGACCTTCCTCATCTCCTTCTTGCTTGATGCAAACCCAGAGTCTTGCAGAGCTTTTCAGGCAGCTGATCAGCACAGAGCAGGAGGAGGTGTGGGCAAGGAGCTCCCAGGTTCTCAGCAGCACCTGGCTCCGCAGTGGAGCTGCACGAAGGTGCCAGTCAGCATTATGCCTGTGTATGTGCCAGAAGGAGAGCTCAGACCTTGAGGCTGCAAAAGAAAATTCAAGCCAGTGAAAGAAAGCCAGTGTGGCTGCAGCATTTCCCTCTGTAAATAGGATGTGCATTCTGCCTCCCACCCGCAGCCTGGGGCATTGCTGACTCACTGATTGCAGGACAGTGACAGCTCAATCCCTGTCCCATCTCTCCTCTATCCTGCCCTGTGACCTCCAGCTGCATGCTTTAGTGGGGTGCATCCAGTTGCAGGGTAGAAAACGGCCACCGTGCTGCATTGCAGCCTACAGAGATGTTTCCCTGCAGCTCTGAGCACCCCAGGAAAGAGCTGTACTCCCTTGCTGCAGCCTGGCAGCATGCCAGCTTCCTTGGTCACAAAGCCAAGTGCTTCCCCAAGGGAAGATTTCATGGACAAAACACTTCCCATGTGATTCCACCCTCCAGGAGGTGGCTGTCGCAGCAGCCCTCACTGTGCCGTGACCCTGCCATGCCTGGGCAGCAGCAGTAGCATCCCCAGGCAGCAGGGCCAGACTCCTCCCAGCTGAAAGGAATCAGCTTCAATGCTCAGTCCCTGCAGCTTTTATTACTGCAAAATCTCTCCCAGCTGCTTGATGTACTTTCAGCTGGTGACAGTATGTCCCCTATCCACCTCCACCCTCTTCCCTAGTGCCCAGCCACTTCCAGTCCTGCAGAGCAGGGACCTGGGCTGTGGCACATGAGGTTATACCATACAGGGTGTATATATAGCACCCCACTGCTGCCAAAGGGCCAAAGAACCCCAGGGCCAAAGAACCTCTGTGGCTGTGCATGGCCAGCTGCATCCCTCCACCCAAGATCACTAGACGCAGGGCTGACCCATAAACTCCCAGTGCTTTGTTCACTGGAGTGGCAGCAGGGCACAGATTAAATGCACCAGGAGGGATTTTGGCTGAACCAAACCAAATCATCTCCAGCTGGTTACAGCCTCACACCTGAGCCATGGGATGAGTTGTGTAGACATCTCTTTTTGTGCTGGGAAATCCAGAAAGGAAAAAGTCAACATCTCAGCACCAGTGGAGGTTGCTAAGTGACAGCAGAGCTTGTTTTTATCCCGCCACTTACAGCATGCCTACGCTGCAAAGGAAGGAAGTGAGGAGTAAGGGATGTAAACATGAGTATATTGCCAAAACACTCCACAAAAATTTATACATTAGCTGCATGTTTTGGCTGCCAGCAGAAAAATATTTACTATGTGTCAATTATTCCAGCCTCGGAGCATTTTACCTGCAGAGGAGGATTTTGGGTATTTGCAGCACCCATGAATTTACCAGTTTTCCAGCTGAAATTTATTTCCAGATCGAACTTACAGGGTTGTCAGTAGCTGCAAGGACAGCTGCAATGAACTGAGATTTCATCCTTACATTGTTTCTAATAGATGGCTTTTGTTTTTCCACCAGGATGTGGCGTTACGCAGCTTTTGGGAAGCACAACAGAAAGGCAGGACTGGACAAGGGAGGGATGAAGGCAGCCTTTGTATGAGCTCCTGGGGAAGAAAGGAGACCATTTCGGTAAAATAAAGGGCACACACACAAACCTGTGTCATTGGAATTATGTTGAGAATTGCAAACTAAGTTAAAAATAGACTAAATGCAGCACTGCTGATCCAGTTGAGAAATTTGCCATCGCTAAGCTGGGTGGATAATAGACATCTTTCAAAAAAGTGCTCATCACAGAGGAGCTTTAGAAACTAACTGCATGGGGGCAGGCAGACTTCCACCCAGCTCGAGCTCCAACCTTGTCTCTCCCATTGACCATGTGCTGCCCCAAACACAGCACAGGATGAGGAAAACACACTGGAGGAGTGACCGGGTGGTGAGCGATGTACCAAGGGCACATACCTATGCTGCCAGCCTTTATCTGAGGCAGGGAGCAGGCCAGCCCAGCCCTCCTGTGCCTGGGAACTATCAAAAGCACCTATTAAAAAAGCATCTGCTCCCTCTGCATAGAAGCAAGCCAGCCCAGGGAGAAAGTAGGGCACCAATTTGTCCCTCGGTGTGAAGGGGAATAAGGCATGGAGCAACAGAGAAGTGATCTGAACAGAGTGGTTCCCAAAGTAGAACCTGGCAAATTAATAGCAAAATATAGTCCCACTCAGATCATCCTACTCATCACAGTGATGTGCTCACTGTCAGCACAGCTGCTGTAGTGCCTCCTGGGCACTAACAAGCCCTGTCTCCTCCACCAGCAGTGGCTGTGGTCGCCACCAGTTCAGGGGCTGAGAGCCCTTGGGGTGTCCTTTCCATGGCCCCATGGAGCTGTGGAACTGCAAATTCTCAGGCTCATGCACCCTCTTGCTCAGGTTTCTAAATGAAGTAGGATCTCCCACAGATGGAGGAGAGCTGGGCCCTTCCAAGGAAGGAGGCTGATGAGGGGCAGCCCACCAACTCTCCAGTGGGACTACGTGTGGGAGACAACTCCAGCAGCAGTGCTGAAACACAGCTGCTGTTGCCTCCATGGCAAGGACTAGGTTAAATCCCTTCTGGAGCTACTTCTGGTGTGTTGTTACCTCCTTGGGCTGTGGAATGGTGACTGGGGAAAGTTTGCTTTGGGAGGCAGCTGCCAGAAACATGTCCTCACTCAGACTCAGCAGCATGGAGTGAGGGTGCAGGGTCAGTGGCAAAGCATCATAGTGCCTGAGCAAGTTGTTACCCTGCTGTCTGCAAGCTGGCACCAAGTCTTAGACTAATTTTGATACCAGCTGTTGCAGGGGAGAAAGACAAGCCCCCCCAAATGCCTTCTGATGAATGTGTGAGCACCAGCAGGTCAGCTGCTCTGTAACCAGCCAAGACACACAGATCAGCTCCTCAGCCAAACCTAGCAGGGAGGGACCAGGCTTTGAAACCCTTGGGAGAGCCAAAATGAGCTGTCTGGGCAGTAACAATGTGCCACGGGAACACCCCAATGGGTATTTTCCTGCTGCCCTTTCATCCTGCAGGAAGGCTGACCTGCACCAGCTGGGTGAGCAGGGGCCTGAGCCCAGGGCTGGGGCCCTGCTGGCCCAGGGTGGGAACAGTTAGAGGCCCAGGGGGTTACAGGTCTCAGTTCAGTGGAGATGGCTGGAGAGAGGCAGAAGAAACAGTGGGGTCCAGTTTGGGGAATGTGAGTGGTGAGGGGGCAGTGGAGTTCAAGGAGAAGCTTCCTGCCTCCAGGACTTGCCCTTGAGGAGGAGAGGTGACCATACCTTTCCCAAGGGTGTGGGTGCTTCAGAAATAAGCCTTAGCAAAGCACTGCATGTCTCAGAGCAGCCCTGAGCACTTTATTGTCACAGCTCGCAGCCCACCCACACACATCCACAACCAGGCTTGGGTCAGGGCTGGGGCTCTGCAGAGACATGGGATGCTGGAGAGGCAGGGAGAGGCAGTACTGGAGGAAAGGAGCTGTGCTGGAGGGGAAGGAGACAGTCAGAGGGATGTTTTTCCCACAGTGGGAAAGCAACGGGGACAGATCCAAACGTACAGTCCTGCCAGTCTCATAGCACCTTCCTCCCCTCACCACCTCAATGCTGCCCCTCAGACCGTAGTCCTGAACCCTTCCCGGGGAGCCACACTGCAAAAGGCACCTCTCCATGCCAGTCCCATCC